GAAACTTACTGAATTACAAAAAAACATTTAAAAAACAAACATGTTTCATTGATATATATACAAAAATTAATATTAGAAACTATATTTATCAAACATTATACTTGGCAAGTAAAAATTGCTTCTGGGCAAATGAAATGTGAGAGTCACTTGCCCGAATTGAGAAGACAACACAACATAGTGCTTAGTGCCTGGAAAAAATCTTTCATTCCTTTTGAAACAGCATGAAAAAGTCAGCTGAGTACAAAACATAGAGAGGGAAACAAGATGAAAAGGGACAAGAAGAGAGGGACAAAACCTAGAACAGATAATGGATGTCTATTCTATTAACATTTCTCTATCTGTATAATGGGTCTGTTTTATGTGTAGTCTTCTCAGTTCAGAGGGCCCCTGCCTGTCTTTGCTTAGGGCCCCAAATTTCCTAAATCCGCCCCTGACCGAGGTAGAAGGTAGTTAGTTTTGACAGAAGCACTGGCAGCTGTTGTGGTATCGCTGAAAATCCCAGAAGACTTGTTTCTAATAATGGAGGCGTTATTGAACTGTTCACATGGTAACATTACTCCTCATTATGTTGGATGGAATGCTGCCCGGGAGCACAAAACAAAAGTGTCCTCAGTCTCTTGAGATTTTTTTTCCTTCTTTGTGTTGAGTGATTCACCCATTCTTTATGCTCAGTTTGCAGAAAAGTACGGGGATGTTTTCAGCATTTGCCTCTTTGGTGAAAGAATTGTCATCATTAGTGGCTACAAGTTCACAAGGGAGGCTTTGGTCCAGCAAGGAGAGAACTTTGTAGATCGCCCCAGCATCCCAATCTTTGAAGACTTAATTGGACAGAAAGGTGCTATTTTTGGAAACATATGCCTAATCTGGCAGGTTTTGATAAAAAGTCATTATATATTTTCACACAAAAAAGGTATAAAGATGTTTCTTAATACAACAAGTCCTTCCATTCACCTTTTATGCAACACTGTTTTTGTTTTCAGGTCTTGTAGGTTCCAGTGGTCATTTATGGAAGACACAAAGGAGATTTGCTCTTCAAACACTCCGAAACTTTGGCCTGGGCAAGAAAACCATGGAGAGATCCATCCAACAAGAGTGCCAGTACCTCACAGAGGCTTTTGCTGAACATAAAGGCAAAGAACTGCATTAATATTTTTATAATCATTTGGAAATCTGTTTCTTCTATAACTTGTAACTGTGTTGCATAAGATAAAAAGCACATATAGTGAAACCCAAGTAGTTGTAGGATTCATTTAATAAATAAACAAATGTTCAAATATGGGTTCAACTTATTCAATTAGAAAAGATAAGGAATACTTGATTTTTCCATCAATTTATTACCTAAAGAGATATATTTGAAGTTTTTGTTTCTGTTCATTTGTAAAAAGATAACCTCAATATATATAGAGTTATCTGGCTCAATCCTTCAAATCAAATTTAATAAATACTTGAAATATATCCTCCTGTATTGAGAAGAATGTGTGTAATATAGTTTATCTATATAAACTAACATTTAAATTATATGACAAATTATTTTTGATGGTTCTGCAGTGTAGGAGGCAAAACGTCAAAGAAATAGTTTGGCCAGGGTGCACAGATCTGGTACCAGACTAAGGAAACCAAGCAACAGAAGGGAGGGTGATCTGTGAGGAGTGAGCAAGATTAGAATATAAATCAGTATAACTAGTAACTGCATAGGAAGCTCAGATCATGAAAAGAAATCTGATAAACCAAAAAACATTCAGAGGGTTTCCAATAACACGCACCAAGCATAGCTGTCACATTGGTTTGAAAATGCAGAATAAATTATCATAAATCCATTTGCATTTATTTATTTTGTTTGCTTTTTTTTTGTTTATAAATGTTTATAAGCTTAGTAGAAGTTTTCTCTCTGTTGCAGGTCAGCCCTTCAATTCCCAGACACTTGTGAACAACGCTGTGTCCAACATTATCTGCTGTTTGGTCTTTGGGAACAGATTTGAGTACAGTGACATGCAGCAGCAGGTGATTCTCCAAAGAATCAATGAGACTGTTCGTTTACAGGGAAGCATGGCAGTGCAGGTGAGTTC